ATACTTCATAGGGGCAATGAACAAGGGCAGAAGTCATCGCTCCAGTATACAACGCTAAGTGATGAAATAGCAGGATGGATGATAGAAAACCCAGCACCTGCAGTGAACTCGGCTTGTTAGCCCAGCTCTGTAGATTCTGACACTGTAACTGGAGCATTTGTGCTCATGGTAACAGATGCTTTCGTCACAAACACTGTCCCAAAGCTGGGAGCAGCCCTCCAAGGCCTGACTTGTTAACACAAATGCAGAGAGGCACAGGAATCGCGCACATGTATCACACATTCCTTGAGCACATGCGTGGAATGTCACTTACATAACCTGGCAGGCTGTGGTTGGACCACATGAAATAAAAGCCAGCTTCTAGAAGCCCACAGAAACTGCTAAGTGTCTTCCTCTTTTCAAGCTGTTCTATTTTCTACTGGAGACAATGCTCACAGCATGAGTAATTCCCATCAGTTATCAGTAATTTAGCAGATTGTGCCAGTGTTGACATTTGTTTCTGGCTTAATTGTGCATGCATGTGTGTTTTAAACAATGATGCAGCTGTCCCCATCCCTGGCAATTACAATTTAAAATGGCGTCCGCGGAATCTAGCATTGTGATCACTTGGCCACGTGTTCACTCTTTTGTTTGTTAAGTCCTTCTGACTGTTAGCTGCAAGTCTACAATCAGAGCATAAATTTGGCCTAAGGTATCGTTCGGCTCTGAATTGCTAGTAGCATCGACAATTTCAAACTTGTTCATTTCATGACCTTAGGTCTCTGATTCCACTAGACTTGCAAAGTCTAGTGGGTTAAATATAACTCTTTGATTTGAAGAAATCGGATTTCAAATGCCATTGGGCTACATGAGCACTGTCAGCAGACATGTACTAGATTATTTCTGGTCTTTCGCAGAGTATCAAGTGGTGGAGACCCACCCCTTATGTGTCGTCACAAAGCCCCAACTGTGCCCATCACCTGCGTCAGTCTTATTTCCTGCAGATCCATGCAAGTAACAGAGAGTAGGACCTCTGGGGCTGCTGTTGTCTCTCAGTAATCCTGGTACTCTTCTTTTTCCTGTTAGGTTAGAAGGTTGATGCTCATGTCACCTGATTTGGTGGTGGCAAGACAAAATAAATATCTACTTAAAAATAGGTCCCCTTTGGCAAGCCATTTGGCAGTAGTCACTACAGCTGAACACACACACACTGTGTGAGTGAACAACTTCTCTTCCGAATGCAGATGCCCAATAGACACACATGCACACATCCATCAAAGAGAAGGTTTGGAACAGATCATGGCAGCAGCTGCCAGATGTCCATCAACAGTAGAGATGATAGTGTTGGCCATATAGTAGTGCTAGCGATGGCCATGTAGTAGTATGATAGTGTAATGCTTGCCTAACAGGCACAGTGGGTCCTATCGCGGTCCTAAAAACAGAGAGCAAAACGATATGCTGCAATACTGTACATCAGAAAGATTGCACATACTCTAGCTTTATACTATATACTGGTTTTGTTCCTCTGCAAAAGGACCACATATTTAGTATCATGAGGAGCACATATGTAGCTTCAAGCTGTGTAGCAGAGGTCTCTCTCTTAAATGTTTTTTTTTGTAAATGATTCATGTCCATTGGTGTTTTGACTGCATGCATATCTGTGTGAGACTGTTGGATCCCCTGGAATCCTGTGGTCTGCCATGTGGGTGCTGGGAATTGAACCCATGTCCCCCTGGAAAAGCAGCCAGTATTCTTAACCACTGAGCCATCTCTCCAGCCCCATGCTGTTTCATTTTTTATGAGTCTCAAAGACTGAAATCAAGGTCGAGACAGCTGGAGGTCAGGACCCTCTTTGAAGCTTCTTCAGGTTGCTGTGAGAATTCACTCTTTTTGTGTGGTTGTTGGCTCTTGGCCAGGAGCCAATCTCTTCTCCGAGAGGACATCTGAGTCCTTTGGCAAGAGCTTTCCTCTATCTTCAAAGCCATCAGCAAGCACTCTCTTGAATCAATCCCTTTAATGATTCAAGTCAACTCCAAGGAAGAGCCCAGTTCTCTTCAAGGACCAGTGATCAGGGCCATAGAGAATGACCTACTGATCCCAGAGAGAGAGCCAGCTGATTTCAGGCTGATCATGTACGGAAGCCCTATGCACAACAGCACCTGTGCTAACACTCAAGCTGAATGACTGGGGAAAGGTGTGTGTCCCAGAGCGTGTGAGTCCTCCTGCCATAAACAGTGACATGGGTGGACTTCACAGTTGACCGTGAGCAAGGGAAACCAAACACATTTACATTTACAAGAAATGCACGAACAGCAAATATGTTAGTTTGGTATTGGAAGTCAGAGGAGGCTCTGTGAGGTGACTTAGTGGGTAAAAGCCCTGGCTATGCAAGCCTGGTTGCCTATAGAGTGACCCTCAGAACCATTGGGTGTGCAGAGGCCATAAAGGAGCATGAGGAGATCCCAGGGGGCGATGAAGAGTTCTGATCCATATTCTGGTCACATCACTGTGCTCAGCTTATGAGAATGCAGCAAGTTATACATCGATGGTCCATACTTTTTTGGTAAATGTCTTACACTTTTATGGCTCATGGAATAATTTGGATTCATTACTGTAAAATGGGTTTGTTCATTTCTCCAGGGAAGCTTGCATTCAAAGACAGTTCTCAGAATGGTACTTACTGGTGAGGGAGGATGAACAGGACAAGAAAAGAAACAAGGTGACAGTATTGGCGGGAGGGTTACCCCAGGCTTAGTTAGCCACCTCGTTTTGTATGGCTCCTCCTTATGGTGGAACCCATCTGAAAGCCAATTTCGTTTCCTGGAACTAGAGTGTACCCCGATTCTCTGAGTGTTTGCCCATCCCACCGATTTGACCCCAGGAGTATGCCTGAAGAGATGTTTATCTACCACCTGACAGTTTTTTATTTACTCACTTTACATCCCACTCACTGTCCCCTCCTGGTCACCCCTCCCACAACCTAACATTCTTGAATGCACCTCGCCCTGGTTATGCATACAGAGGGCCAGCCATGGGCCAAAAATGGTAAATTTTTAACCCTTCTTTCTCTTCCCCTTTTTGCTGTCTACTAACTGTCTCCAGTTTGAAAGCAGTGGGCTCTGGTTTCTAGAATAGAGACACCCTCCACAGCCGGCTAAGAAGCGTGCATAGTCATTGAGAGGCGCATTCTTGGCTCTGTCTGTCCTCTCTAACCTTACAGGACGAAGGCACAAGGAGCCAGCTTGACAGTTGGTATTAACTAGGTAAGAATTCCTTTCTATCAGCTTAGAACTTGAGTGTGGGAGCTGCAACATAACATATGGGGGATCCGTGGAAAGCTATATGCAGGAACCCCTGTTAAAGTCTGAAGACAGCTGAGCATGGTGTGGTGGCACAACGCCTTTAACCACAGCATTGAGGAAGTTGAGGCAGGAGGATGACCACAGGTTGGAGGCCAGCCTGAGCTGCAGAGCAAGACCCTATGTCGAAAAGAAAACAAACAATCAAAACCCCAGGAATTGAGGAAATGGAGAGTGACACACCGAACCAGTGCTGTTGTCAGAAGTTCAAGCATTTTCTTGCTAGGTGAACCCCTCTAAGCAGCTTGTACATCGGCCCTTCCCACTGCAGAGCTGTCTTAGAAGGTAGGAGGTGAATGCTCATTAGCATATGCGACAAATCCAGCCAGTAGATTCTATGCTAATCATACAATGGTGAGCCCTCGGGTCTGGATTATCCCACTAACTGGCTAAAAAAGCCGACTCACGACTCACAGATAGATACATTGGCTAGAAAGCTTCACAGATTCTTCAAAGATGGTACTTAGTGCTTCAGCCCCGTGAACGTACACAAATTGCAATTATTGCTGGCTCCCTAATTATAATAATTGCTAAATGCCAAGGCTGAAGGGGTTGGAGTATGGGAATTTCCCACAAAAATTCTTTTTCTTGCTGCAATTCGAATTTTGTCAAATTCGAAGTGCGAAGCAGCCCTGACTCTGAATCCCTGGAATGTTCTAGGAGGTCCTGAGAAGGGCATTCTAGTAGTGGATCGCTGCACATGACCGCTTCTAAACCTGTTCAGTGTCAGTGTCGGGATGGCTGTCGCGAGCCAGGAACCCTTTAGGGGTGGCATTCTTCAGGTAAGAATCTCTGTGACAGCACGGCTTCCCGTTGCATCTCGGGACGTTTCCCCCAGCTTACCCTGAAGCACTGAGTGCTCACTGCTGGACTCAGTGACTTCTTACAGCTTTAGGCAACCGTAGTACCCGAAGGCGGCCTGCTGTTGACCTACGGTCTGTGAATAGTTCCAAGGATGAGACAAAGTCCCAGTGTCTGGGTGACAACAGGGTTATTGACAAAAGGCCGCGAGCTGCAGATGATGGGATGTTGAGGGGGTAGAGGCGGGGGGGGGGGGGGGGGGTGCGCGGTGGAGTGGGGAACTGGACGTCAGACCCTGAATTTCTGCTCGGCCAGAGTTGGGAGTCAAGGCCCCAGGGACAGTCCCTCAGTCCATTAGCATGCAGGGGCCGCGCGCGCCGTCCTTGAAGGGCTGCCCGGCTGACCTTGCTCTGCTTTCACGGAGGATTCTCCAGCAGCGCACGAGGACGCGGCTGCCGCGGTGACTCAGTGACCTGCGCACCGCATGCAAATGCTCGTCTCGAAGAGGTTGCCTCTGAGGTCTGCGCTCCTCTGAACCCCACGATTCCAACCTGGCCCTTTACGCTGCTCCCCTCCCCTCCCCACGGCCCCACGTCCTGAGGTTGCGTCGTCCACCTCGCCTCCGCAGCATCGAAGGCCAACCTTCGCACTCCCGGGCTGCGGGCGCGGGGGACCAGACGCGCTGTCCCCCAGCCGGCCCCACGCGCCAGGCGCCCCGAATCCCGAGCCAGCCCAGGGTGGGCGGCGCCTCGGGCTGAGTCTCGGCCCAGCCTCGCCGGCCTGGATCCCCATTGGTCGTCACCTCGGCGGGAGGGCGGTTCAGTCCCGCACCTGCGGTCGCCCCTCCACGGGCAAATCGGCGGCTGCGGGACACCGGCGCCCAGAAGCCGCAGCACGAGAGGCCAGGCCTGGGGCTCAGCCGATCTCCACGCGGCCGGCCCTGTCCTTTTGCTGCCACCGCCGCGACTGCGCCCGCGGGAAACTTTGCCCCGCCAAGTCCTCTGCCCTCCTGGCCACGCCGTGATAGTTCACCTAGCGGCCCCCGGGGCCCCGCACAGCGCGCGTGATTGCCGCCCCGCCCCGCACAGTGCGTCCACGGCGCCGGGCCGCCAGGATGCGCTACGCAGACCCCTCTGCCAACAGGGATTTGTTGGGGAATCGAACTTTGCTCTTCATCTTCATCTGCGCCTTCGCCTTGGTGACCTTGCTTCAGCAGATCCTGTACAGCAAGAGCTACATCAAGAGGTAAGAAAGTCTGAGGGGGTGGGATACACCGAGTCCGGCGGTAACCTTCCTGAGGTCTGCCCTTAGCCGCGACACCTCCGTGGTGTGCCCCTATGACATCTCTGCTGCCAGCCAGAGGACAGAGCCAGCTGCGTTGTCCTGGTGCAGTTATGTGGAGATGTGTGTGTGTGTGTATGTGTGTGTGTGTGTGTATGAACGTGGGCAGCAGATTGGAATGCCAAGCAGCAAAGCTGACCATAAATACATGTGAATGCCCAGAACTGTCCCCCAAACCTACATTTCCGTGGCCATTTGCAGCAGACAAAAGGGGGAAAAAGATAGTTTTTCCTTCTTCTTCTTAGTTTGGCAAGGTCTAAATTTTTGTAGGGGACCTCGGAGGTATATAGGCTCTTTCTCCCCAGGAACTCCCAACTAGGTGGGGTGGTAGTGGGTCTGGCCACACACAGGTACAGTGACTTCTACAGATCTGTGGAACAACCTGATTGCCTCCGGAACAGATGGTTCTTTTGCATCCTTAGCATCAAAGGCGGCAGGCGCTGGACTCTCTCACCCCTTCACCACCCACAGCCAAACTCCTTGAAGGGAAAGGGCAGTACACGTCGCTCAAAATTCAGGCACGGCCTCTGTCTCTGTGTGAGCAACATACAGGGACAGGGATACGCCAGGTTCTGGAGGCTCTGGTGAAGCTGCGGCCAACTCCTGACTGGAGGCGGGAGTTCAGCTCTGGATGCTCCCATGCTAGAGTCTCTGGTAGAAAGATCTCTTCTCCTCTCTGCTGGAGGCCCCTCCACCACCAGAGCCCATCTAAGCTGACTGCCTTCCACTCAAATGGATAGGAATGAAAATTTCTCTTCAGAACTGTCCCAGTAACAGAATACTGCCCTTTCTCTTCTCAGCCTTGGGATCTGCATCATCCGTCATATATGCCCCCATTCTGGGATGCCCAAAGAGTGCTGTGGGTGAGGGTTGCTGCTGGTGATTTGCTCTCAACAGGAGAGCTAAGCAGTCCGGCTGTTCCTTCCTCCTGTCTCTCCAGAACTAAGGCCTATGTAGCCCCTTGCTTCATACATTCATTTCCAGTCACACACTGCTCCGGTCTTCCCTAGACATCTTTCTTCCCTAGTTGGCATCATATGCTCTGTATGACACTACTGGCTTTAAAACCACTCTGCAGTCTCCTGACCTGCTGGATTTGATTAGACCCTCAGAGATATTCCTGAACTGTCTGCCTTGCAGCCATGCTGGATCTTGGAACCTGCATCTTGGTAGGGCAGCTCTCAGTTTCTGCCCCTGTTGGTAATTCCCCAGAACTGCCTGGGCTCCTAGAGCTTCTGGTGGGACAAAAAGGAGAGAGGCATCAGGGCCACAGTGGGTGCCAACCACACTACTGCCTGATTGTTCCGGCAAACCCTGCCTAGGTTTGGATGGATGGGCTAGTTGCCCAGAGCCCAGCCTGTGAATTGGTTGCTTCCCATTCTCTATTTCTCAGAGACCCTGACCCCTAAATGGTAGATAAAACCCTGCAGTCCTTACTCCAGGAATCCTGCTTAACTCAACCAAACAGTCAAGACTGGTATATGTTCCATCTGGGAAGGGAGTCAAGGAGGGTGCTATAAAGAAGCCTATGATGGAATCCTGGTGCTCAGCGGGATTAAAATCTCTCTAGGGAAACGAATGGCCACAAGTGAGAAGTACAGGCTGAGAAGAGTGGTGGGTGGAAGAGGCTAGGGAGAATGCCTACGGGAGGCAGAACTCTCGTGGGCCCCAAAGGCAGGTAAGATCTGGACAGGGGTGGGGACATTCACACCTGTAACCAAAGGGAGGAAGCAGCAGCAACCCTGACACAGGATACAGGCATGGCCCCGCCCTCCCCCCCCACCTCTTTGGCACCTGACCCCACCTGCACTGCCAAGCTCGCCTCCGTCTGTCACCAGGCTTCCCTGGTCCTGTGTCTTGTGACTGACTCATTTGCTTCTGTGTCCTGTCTCCTCACACATCAGAGTTGCTCTGAGTTGGCTCCAGGGGAGTGCATGTTTTATGTCTATCTGGAAACAGCAAAGATCTGCACTGGAGTTCCCTGGGAGGGGCCTGGGATGCAGCCTCCTGGGCCCTTGGGTTGAACTCCCTTCCAGGACTGAACAACTTCTAGGCTGTCTCCTAGCTGCCTCTCGAGCAGTTCCCTTGAGGGACCAGTAACAAGCTCCACTTGATGCCATAGGTCAGTAGATCTCTGTCAGGTCAATTTTGCCCTTAGACATTAGAGTAGCCACGTCCTTGGTTACCACATGGGGAGAGGAGATGCTTCTGACATCCAGGAGGGAGTGGGTGAGGATGCCCAAAAACTCCACTAGGCCCAGATTGCCTGCATAACAAAAGTATTTCAGCCCCAAATGTTAGCGGTGCTGAGGTTGAAAACTGCACTTGGTCAGAAGCTCTGAGGGAGGGATTATGGTTTGCTTGAGGCTGCACGTGTCACACATGTGTTTGACATAAAGAAGTCGTTAGTAAATATGGATAACGAACAAATGATTGAAGGTTGGAGCAGCTCTGTGTGTGCGCACGTGCCAGTGTGTGTGTGTGTGTGTGTGTGCCTGTGTGTGAATGCACGCATGGATTTATACTTAGGTGTAGTCATTGGAAGGGACATAATGAAAAGATGGTTCCCACGGTGTAAGAGGCACAGGGTCGTGTCAGACAGCAGTGCTTAGTGCTCACTGCAGTGCTCCAAAGGTTGAGGACACACTGAGCTTGGTTCATAGGTCATGGGGAGACACACGTGGTCCTTGAGGAGGGTAGTAACTTTTTAAAAATGCTTGGAAAGGAAGGCTATCTGGATATTGCACAGGAAGGCTCGGAGAGGGAGAGACACTGGAGGTTTGCTCATGGCCTCTCAGAAGTGGGAGCACGGCTCAGAGTATTCTGAAGCCTACAGCAGAGGCAAAAGGATGGTACAGTTGTCTAGTGATGTTAGGTGAAGTTGCTACAACAGGAAGCAGGCGATGTGAGTTGGTGTGCATTCATCTATCTATCTATCCATCCATCCATCCATCCATCCATCCATCTATCTATCTATCTATCTATCTATCTATCTATCTATCTATCTATC